CCACACACACACACACACACACACACACACACACACATCTGCTGATGCAACACCTACAGCAGCTGCTGCAGTAGTAATTGATGCACCTGATGTAGCTGCTGCATTTGCTGCACACACACACACACACACACACACACACACACACACACACACACCTGCTGTCACAGCTGATTCAGCACCTACAGCAACTGCTGCAGTAGTAACTGATGCATCGGATACAGCTGCTGCATTTGCTGCACACACACACACACACACACACGCGCACACGCACACACACACACACACACACACACACACACACACAAACCCCTGTGGCCGCCCACTATGCCCCCACCCCGGCACCGGAATGGCCGAAAAGGCCCCGGTACCGGCCATACAAGGATGCAATCGGCAGCCCCCCCCCCCTTTTTTTTTTTTTTTGCGCTCGGCCGAACATGCTCAGTTCCCGCTCGGCCAAGCGTCCAAACATGTTCGGATGCTCGGTGGGGCACCGAACATGTTCGGCGTGCTATGCAGGTCAGCGTATTTGGTGGCGACATCCTCGTCCCATGTAAATTAATAACGTGCCAACAATGGCGATACAAGAAAAAAGTAATACAGACCGTTCCTTCAAGTGAGTTTATTTGTTGACATGAGACTGCTTGCACAGTTTGTTAACTTCGTTAAAGTTTTGCATTTTCTTTTTTTTTGGGTGGAGTTTGTTTGCAATTTGGTGCACAGCGTGTAGTCATAGCATTTCTACACAATTCTCCCATCATTTGCGTACTTGAACGAAAACTGCCTTCTTCCCCCACATAGAACATACACTGATTTCTACTGCAGCTGGACTAAAGGCGAGCCAAATATGGCTATAACGACTGTACGTTCTGTTCGGGGGGAGACGGTACTAATACTATGTAATTCAGAGCTGGGAGAATTGTGTATTAGTGACTGCTGTCATTACTTCAACAGCAGAATCCCATCAAGTTGTTTCAAGAACTCCAACAGCAGAGCCTCATGACAACTCGGTGAGTTGTTGTGATTCATTCGCTTCTTGCTTCAAAAGTAGCCTTGAAGTGCATGGGTCCTGGGGACCATCTCACGCAAGTGTGTACATGCCATGCATCGTACTCCCACACACGATGAACAGTAGTCTCACAATAGACAAAGATAGAGAAGATGAGGACCGAGTTTCACAGCTTATATTATCAGAAATATGAATACAAAGTGTTTCAAAGTTCCCCTGAGTCCAGCGCTCATCAGCGCAACACCAGTATCTTGCCAACTCATCAATATGCCTTCCAGTGAATCAGTGCTACCCCTGCAGATAGTCTCCAAGTCAACAATGTGGTCACTACTCATCAGCGCCACCTCTGCAGGTCACATCCAACTCAGGTAAGTATCTTCCATAGCCAAACCCTGAATGTATCATCATCCCATCTTATATATATGGGATGTCTGGCGTGCAGTCGTTGAGGCTTTACGGTCTTAGACTTCCTTCCCTGCTGATTGTCCGCACCGACGCATTCATTATTGGATACTCGATCCCTTCCTCCTATGATGCATACACACTCTTCAATACTCATGAGGATCTACTCTGGATACTACTCATAGCTACATACTAACCCTCTACTACTAATGCTAACTCGCTGGGCAGCTATGGCTGCATCACTTCCAGCGTACAGGCTTCTTCCTCCCTCCAGCGCRTCTTCTCCTCCAGCGCTGCTCCTCCTGACTCAGCACACAAGTGCACCAGCACTTCCACGCATTGCAGCCAGTGGAGATCTGGCGAGGAATGAGGCAGGCAGCTCTCTTTATAGTGCTGGCCACTCCTCGCTGGGTCTGCATTGGCTCAATTCAGCCTCTCCCTTTGTCCCAGACCCTGCATTGCATRTGTYCCRGTAYAGTCCCAATGAGGTTCAACTGCTGCTGAGGCACTTCGGCCTGGATTTGGACTTGAAAGTCTGGATCTGGACTGACCCCTTGACTTAGACCAGAACTGGGACTGTGCCTACTGACTTCACTTTCGGACAGGCACAACTCTAAACGAACAGACACATTTACTACTTGAACAGGCACTTTCCATTGCACGAACAGGTACACTGCCTGCACGTACAGACACACCCTTACCCGAACAGACATGACATACACACCTCCTGGTGAACAGGTAAGTCTTTTGACATTGCCCTTTGCCTTAGATTTAGATGTGCCTGTTGATAGAGAACTTGACCTTTGACCTGTTTTCACGTTTCTGAGCCCTGGCGAGATACCTTTTCACAATGCTTTACTTTTACAAGGCCCGTGCTGCTCTATTTTTACAAGGCCTGAGGCCTATATCGGGTAAAGGCCCTTTTAGAAGGAAGGTTTCGCCAAAAAACAAAATGACGAAGTAATATAAAACTATTTATTACAAAAATAATTAATGAAAAACAAGCATCCAACTTGAAGAGCAGTTAGCGAATTTGCCCACATCCTCATCTTATGTACTGCATACCGTTCCTTCAAGTTCGCCGAGGTATCGTTGCGTCCCCGCAAAGCCTTTCAGCCGAAGTCCTTTTCGCAATACGCTAAACATACCTGCAGTTCCAACAAAAAAAATGAGACAGATAGTTATCGATGCCTTTTTATTTTATTTTATTTTTTTGAAAAAAAAGATGTGCTGAAAATATGCCGTTTCCACTGTCTGCTGCAGCACAATCAAGATAATAAACATCTTCAAAACAATATACATCGTCAAACAGAACTGCCCGGTTAACCATACGCAGAGAGGGAGAAGAGGACAGCTGTGACAAACTGTTTCCTCGGAGTTTCACCGGCTCATCAGGAGGCTGAACCCTAATATATTGTCACATAACTATGAACTAAAAGAGCGCACTTTGAGAAACAAACGGTAAAGACAAAACAAAACAAAACAAAGATGAGGGGCACACTGAAACTATTCATTTTTCTCATTCTTCTTTCAACTTCCCCTTCACCGTGCATTCAGTTGAGCACGAGCTGCCCACATCCCTGTGTGCCATAACGGCCCACTTGTACGCTGTGAGAAAGAGGCAGAGTAAAGGGGGAGGTGATAAATACATGGAAGAGATTAAGAAAAGAGAAACAAAGAACGAAAAAGGGAAGGTAACGATAAAAAAGGGCTCAAGAATGAGTCTGTCCTTGACGACAGAGAGGACACACATTGTAAGGATGAGGTGGATGAGCACATGGAAGACCTAGCTGAGCATTCTCAGCACAACAATTGCCACGACGGCTGGCATTGAGCATGCCCAACATACACTCCCGACAAATGGCAAATCGATTGCAGGCCAAAACGAAGGAAGAACGCTCACCACAAAAGACCATGTATTCAGTATAGTGCCCATGGCCGCAAAATGGACATATAGTGTCCAGATGCGGAGGGTGCCTGCGGTCAGGATCGGAGGAGCAGTCCTCTACACACATAGATGCAGAAACCATGTCATTGTAGTGATTCTGACAGAGACGATGCAACCACAACCGAGTGTAACAGTGTCTGGAGCAGTGCAAAGGAGAAGGTCGCAGAGTGTTGGTACATTGTTGTGCTGCAGCACGGGGCCAGAGGAATGATCTTCGACATAAAAGAGATTGCGGACAGTTTGGTGTGGCAAGAAAACAACATCATTATGTAAGAAATCAGTAACATCAGTCATGGCATGGACCATGATGCCGTTGTCCCACAACTCCAAGTGGTCAGAGGTGCGTACAATGGCCATGTAATGGACAGGTACGTGCACAATGCAGGCAAAGATGTGGGATGGAGGATTACACCACTCACCTGCTCGAGCATTGTGTAGCTCAAGTTGGCGGTCCCTCATTGCTGCTTGTAGGACAGCAATGGTAAAGCCTCTTTCCCTGGTACAATTACAATCCTCTGGTTGTAGGCAGGGGAGATCAGTATCAAGCTGAAGGGCAATTGCAAGGAAGTTTGATGGTGTATAAAACGGGCGGTGGAGAATGTGAAGACAGATATTAGTTGCAGTCAGACCACAGAGATTGGTGAGGATCTCAGGCTGGTGTGCCGGATGCTGGCCAACAATTTGCAGATCACCCAGTTGGTGTTGCAATCCCAAAATGTCTTCGGTTGCTCGCTGGTCAGTCATTTGCAGATCACCCATGTGGTCTGCGTGTGGTGGGGCACAAATTTGTGGTTCATCCAAACGATGCTGGTCAGCCATTTGCAGATCCCCCATGTGGCCTACGCCTTGTGGAGTTAACTGCAATCCGGGCAGATCATGTTCCAATCCCCCAACGTTAGGGGCCACATCTTGAGTAGGGACTGTCCCTAGAATCGGGAGTGAACTCTAGGCAAGGACCACATCCTGTTGTACAAGTGACAATGTTGGAGTAGTCTCATCATCATCAACAAAGAACTAATGTCGATTTCCTATCCGGCGCTCTGCGCCCAGACTACAAATGGCAGATCCTATCTAGCCTATCTACAATGCCGTTGGTGACGTCAACAGCTCCCCGGCCAACGTCGTTCGCCTCGAGCACCAGGTATTTCTCTCGCATCACTCACAACCTCGATTCCCCACACACAGATGCCACGTGCACCCAAGGACCACGATGCGCCCCATCCAGCACCTCGCAGGCCAGCTCGGCTATGGCTGCTTGCGTATCCCTTGCTCGCCCGTGAGCGTGTGGGTGCTTGCCTGCCTGTAGTGCAGCAGCGCTTGCGCAGCTTGTACCAAGTGCCCGAATGCCAAATGCGGGGGCAGGCACTTTCCTATATGGAAGTGGCCTGCCTGCTGCGTGCGGCCTGGCTGCACTGGGCCCCTGCCTAGAAGCTTCCGGTAGGCCCCAAGTGGTTGAGCCCCGGTCCAGGGAGTCAAGCCCAGGGCCTAGAGCGGTTACCCGTGTTCAACTGGCCGCAGCCTGTGTTCGGCCCATGTTCCGTATCTGGCCCAGGTCCTGCCTCAGTTACATTTGAAAAAGGCAGCCAAGGCCTGGGCGCTCTCAACCAACTGGCGCTGCACAACTGCCTGAATTTCCCCAGTTGCGTGGTAGCCGAAAATAGGCCTCTTGTCCTTGGTCGGGCCTGCCTTCACTTAGGGCGACCGACACTGTTGAAAACAGGGCCCAGTAGAGCTCGTTGAGGCCTTGAGACTCATATTTCCTCCTCCACGCTTTGATAGTCCTCTGCGAAGTTCAATTATTCAATCTGGCGCTTTTCTGCAATGACTTCTCGTAGTGGGCGACAACCTGTGGAGCGGTCTGCATTAGTTCCTCCCAGGTAAACCATCTGTCCTCCTTAGGATCAATATGATGTCTGAACCGAACGCGGTATTGCAGCTTCATCTTAGGAGGATGTCCCCTGCCTGCTGGTCTTGGAACTGGCATTTCCCTATGGTCCACGATGTCGTCGATGTCAACCTCTCCGTCCATGGTTGGGGGCAGCATTGAGCGACGATGAGGAAACTGATCAGTTTCCTTGAAGGGTGCGAGCTTGGAGGCGCGAAAGACAGGGCAAGTGCGTAGGTGACCAGGGATGTGAATTAAATATGACGGGCCATCCGGATCATCCCCGACAATATCTAGAACCTACCAAGGCCCAAAGTACTGTGGCATGAGCTTACGGGAAATATCGTGCTCCTGCCCCAGTTCGGAGGACTTAACCCAGACTCTATCCCCTACCTGGAATGTTGATGGGTGACGGTGTTTGTTTTCGGATTCTATCATTACCGCCTGTGTTATATGCATCTGCCCTACCCCCTGTTGCATCAGTTGTTCATATCGATAGGTGAATTCTAGAGTGCCAGGTGCAGCAGTTGGCTGGTTCTCAGGTAGTAAAAAGTCTAGGGGCAGCCTAAGCTTGACAGTCAGTAGCAGACTGTTAGGGCTCAACCCAGTTGCGTTGTGCACAACGTTGTTGTACAGGCTGGCGATGAGAGCAAGTTTCTCATCCCAGTCCACCTGATTGGGCTTGATGTAATGCCTAAGCAGGTGTTGTACAACGCAGTTCAGCTGCTCTGCTTGCCCGTTTGCCTCTGGGTGGTTCCAAGAGGTTATCTGCAGTTGTGTTCCCTGTTCTGCAGCTGCAGCCTTCCACAACTCGCTTGTGAATCGGACATCCCGGTCACTAACAATAGACTTTGGAAGCCCAAAGTCTCTGACCCAGTTCTCCTTGAATAGTCTAATCATGTACTCGGTCTTTGCTGTTTCAGGCATTGCAACTAACCTAGCATACTTACTAAATCTATCCACAATGGCAAAGATGTGTCTCATTCCACTCTTGCTGGTGACCAGCGTGTCCATGAAGTCCATGGACAGGCTCTCACTGGGCCTTTCCGGAATCAGAAGGGGCTTAAGAAGCCCAAGAGGGGTCTGTGTACGTGGCTTGTCCCTCTGACACACTTGACAAGTCTCCACGTACAGCTTGTCATCTCTCATCATTGTGGGCCACCAGAACTGCTGCAGCAAATTGGCTCAGTCTTCTTATAACCAAAATGTCCTGTGGCATCATGACACTCACCTAAAAATAAACTACACAAAGACTCCCGCTTAGGCACACACAAACGTTTATTCCCGGCCTTCTCAAGGAACAGCAGGCCGTTGACCAACTCAAACTCGACAGAAGTCACTTTGTCCTTTGCCTCGAGTCTGCAGATGATCTCAGCCATAAAAGGATGGTCGTGATAGGCTTCCACCAAAGACCCAGTGACATCGTCCGCAAGCCCGAACTTAGTGATCAACGCACCAAGGAAGTCCGGCCTACGCGACAGCGCATCAGCATACTCCCCTTTGATGTACTGGGGCTCGAAGTCATATTGCTCGATGACTTCAATCCATCGCTTCAGCGCATCAGAGAGTACTGGCTGGGTTCTCATCCACTTCAGGGTCTGATGATCAGTCTTGACGTAGAAGAACCTCCCAAGGAGGTAGTGCCTCCAGTGGGTTAGCGCTTTATAAATCGCATAGAGTTCCTTCTCATAGATGGACTTAGCCAACTTCTGAGACGGCACCTTTTTGGACATGCACTCGACTGGCCTCACTTTGGCCCCTCCTGCTGCGCAAGCATGGCACCAATGCCATATTGGCTGGCATCCGTGGTTACTATGAATGGCTTGTCAGGATCAGGAAGTTTGAAAACCTCATGGTGTGTTAAGGAGTGCTTCAGATGTATGAAAGCAGCCTCACACCTGTCTGTCCACTCCCAAGGGGTGTCAAGGCGTATCAAACCCATCAAAGGTGCGACCACTATGCTATAGTTCTTCACAAAATTGCGGTAGTAGCCAGTCATCCCTAAGAAGGACCTCATCTCAATCACAGACTGAGGACGCGGCCAGTCATGAATGCTTGCCACCTTCGCGTCATCGGGCCCCAATCCCTCTGCAAAAATCTCATGACCATGATACAAGATCAGGGTGCGTCCAAACTCGCACTTCTCCCGGTTAATCTTGAACTGGTGCTGTCGGAGGAGCTAAGGACTTTGTCTAAATGGCCAACACGCTCCTCGACAATCCTACTAAAGATAAGTATGTCATCGAGGTACACGATGACAAACTTGTCTAAGTAGTCATGAAAGATCCGGTTCATGGCGTGCTGAAAGGTGGCAG